ACCCAGTGCTCCATTCAGTACGTGCCCTCTTTAATACCCATCACCAGGCTAGCCCATCCCCCCACCCCTCTCCCCTCTAGAACCTTCAGTTTGTTTCTCAGAGTCCATAGTCTCTCATAGTTCGTCTCCCCCTCCAATTCCCCCCTTCATCTTTCCCTTCCTGCTATCTTCTTTTTTTTTTTTTTAACATATATTATTTGTTTCAGAGGTACAGGTCTGTGATTCAACAGTCTTACACAATTCACAGCACTCACCATAGCACATACCTTCCCCATATCTCCCCAAAAAAGATATCTTTTCCCATTCTGAAGACTGCTTTTTAGTTTTGTTGATTGTTTTCTTTGCTGTGTAGAAGCTTTCTATCTTGATGAAGTCCCAATAGTTTATTTTTGCTTTGGGTTCCCTTGCCTCAGGACATGTATCTAGTAAAAAGTTGCTAAGGCTGATGTCAAAGAGGTTACTGCTTGTGTTCTCCTCTAGGACTTTCATGACTTTCTGTCTCCCATTTAGGTCTTTCATCCATTTTGAATTTATTTTTGTGTATGGTTTAATAAAATGATCCAGTTTCATTCTTCTGCATGTTGCTGTCCAGTTTTCCCAGCAGCATTTGTTGAAGAGACTGTCTTTTTACTATTGGATATTCTTTCCTTGATTATTGCTTTTTAAATATTGCAAATAAATATCTTGTCAAATGAGATACTTCATAAGGAACCATAAAAGCTTATTCATAATACAAATATTTTCTTCAAACTTTACAAAGGCAAGCACAATGTTTATCAAAAAAATGTTGAAAAGTCCTTATCTGTATCAAATGCATAGTAATACTATATATTTTAATCCAACACTTTATGACATATTTTAATTTTTTTGACATATTTTAATTTTTAACTGAAGTCTCAGAGTGTAAGGACACTCAAGGTTGTCAGATACTTAAAAGACTTACTTAACTAAAACAGCTTCAAGCAAAAACCACCCCCATATAAGGAATGAATGTGTCTCTAAAAAGATTTTAAGTTCCAGATGAAAGCATCAGTAATTGGCCATAAATTAGCACAATTAATTACATTGCATTCCATTTAGTAGAATACAATAAAAAATAATTGCTTGAAAAAATATATATAAATATATAAATATAAATATATATATATATATATATAGTTGATAGAGCATCTTCTTATTCATAGATAAAGAGTGTTACATAATAATGTCTAATTCCATCTGACTTCTATTTATCCCTGTCATATCCTATGTCACACTGATTGTTCAGATTTTTGGAACTTAATGTACATTTTTTAAAGTTGTGTACTTTTCTTCAAAACTGCTCTTCTGAAGACTGCAACAGATTCTTTTAACTTCCTGAAAACACTTTCTAAAAATGCAGAACAATTATATATAGCAAATGCCTTCAAAATTTAAAGGACTGCAATAGATTCTTAATTGAGGGTACAAATATAGATCATATTACTTATATTCCATATGCTTATCAATTTTCTTGAGACTGAATCAGAGATGCAAGGCTTGAAAATCAGTTTGAAATTTGGCAAAACTTCACCAAGTCAGACTTGAGTAATTTAAAACTTGTAACAATTTGGACAGTTCCCAGCTTGTAATGTTCCTTTATTTGATTAATCATTTTTTCCCTATAGTGAGTATATTAACTCTGTAACTCTTCTGCAAGAGCATAAATTAACTTTGTAAAATATTGTAGAATGTTATTTTTACAAAACACATGAATTTCATAAATTTCAGAAACACACATGAAATAATAAATAATAAACAAATGTTATTTTCTTTTCATTATGATGGAGGATAGAAGCATAAAAATGTTCACCTTTAGCCCAGAAGGCTGACCTATAACCTACATAGTTTTGATAAGGATCAAATAAGTGCTGGGTGCTACATTCTTAAAGGGTCTCATGATGGCCTGTATGTCTCACTGATAGTTAATATTGTACTGAATGATAAACACCAGAGAAATCTTGGAAAAGTGGTTTTATGAGTAGAAATTTGAAGAAGACATTTATGATCTAATACTCCCTGCATGTCCCCACCCACTCAAGCACTATGCATATAACCACTAGCTTCATACAGCAAAAGTTCAGCTCTTTCTGCCCATGGGTCTTGTCCCTGTGCTACTTGAATAAACTTACTAAGTTGCACTGTAAAAGGTCTCAAGAATTCTTTCCTGACTGTCATGTTCAATGATCCTGCAACAATTATAGTTGTTTGTTTGTTTGTTTTTTAACATTGTACTTAAGCATTATTTTTCTACATTTTCTAAATTTATATGCTTTGCAAAAAATGAAATGCATATGAAAATAACTGGGTAGAGTTCAATTTATGGTTATTAATTTGGCACCCAAAGGGTCAGATTCAGAACCTTCACTTTATTAAAAATAGTAAGTTAACCAGCCACAAAATAACAAATAGTGTGAAAATATTTAGATATTGGTCTGCTCACTCCATTTTTGAAGCCCTCTTAAGGGTCTCTACTTAGCAAAAAATTGGGATTGGATTTGTTAGTCAAATTTTGAGCTGTTATGATTGAAATGAGTAGAAGTGTTTTTCTTTTTTTTAAAGTACCTTATAAGTTAATTTTAAAAATCAAACTGGTTTCCACCCGAACTGATTTTAGTGAGGTTTCACTAAAATTTGCCTAATTAGCATACAAATTTCCCTATATTAAATCATATTATAAACAGCAATTGTCATTTTTTTTCAATCCAAAATTTCAGAAGTAGACTTAAAAATCAGTGGAATAGGCAATCATTCAGAAGATACTTTTTGAGGAATGCTTGTACCTTATTCAACAAATAAATTAACTCAACTATCATTAGCAAACAACACTAGGAAGAAACATGTATTTACTGTCATATTTTTATACTAGCGTCTGGCACAAAACCATCTAAAGAAACTTCCTGGAACACACATTGAGAAACACAATTTAAGAATATTTCTTATACATTCATAAAAATCAAATAAAAGGAATAGAAAAATATCAAGTGTTTCCTTTCATACCTGTGGTTGGGGATGAATCCAGATCTCCACAGTTGTTGACTCTTTCATTGGGGTGTGAGATTGTACAACCTCCATCATTGGCTTTAGAAGGAGAAATAAAACACAAGTATTTTTTCAGTGGTTTGTTAAAAGTGAAAAATGTAGCGCATTGCACACATGCATGAAATATGGGTAAATAAAATAGTGCCTGTGTAAATCTCTGTACGTATCATAGTCATTGAGGAGTTGTAATATGACAGGCAAAACTCTAGACACTAGGAATAGAGAGAGAAAAAAATTATCTCATAGAGCTTAAATTTCACTGTAACTTTTAAGTATTCCATTAAACATATGAATAGAAATGTAGAGGACAATTTAAAATATTTAAATGGATGAAATTTAAGCTGGAGAGATTTTTTCACTCCAGTGCTGTTATAACTCAATGTGTTCAACAGCTTGTATTTATGAATTCACCATGGTCTAAAATTAAAACCTATCCTGTTTGCCAGAACATCACAAATTTGCTGCCTAACATAAAAATATATTTAATAAGTGCAAAGAAATTTCTGAACCAATACAAAGATACTAACCTACCAACCCAGAATAATTATCAAGGTCTTGAAAATATAATGATTTTATCCATTGAATTTTCTGCAGGACTTAGAGTATGTTCTCTGTTTTTAAAATAATGAACATATGCTATACACATTTTCTGTATATTTGGTTTTAGTATATGGATAAAGGATTTGCTAAAAAGTTATCCTTTGATCTATGAAAAAGAAAGATTTTTCAAGAAGCTGAAAAAACGCAATGAATGTTGATAGTTTTCATGCTATAATAGCAGAGTTGAGTAGTGTATTTGAGATCTTATGTCACACTCTCAGAACTTCGTACTGTTGTTTGGTGTGCTACAAATTACAGTGATACAATTATTATTTGACAGTGTTTTGAAGGAGTGCAGATTTTGTCACTCCAAAATGTGTTTCTTTGGCATAAAGATTATCTTAGGTTGATCACTTTTAAGAAAAAACAAACATAAGAAAAACTCTGAAGACTGAGTAGAAGTTACCCTTTCATAAGAAATACTATATTTAGGGGCGCCTGGGTGGCTCAGTTGGTTAAGCGACTGCCTTCGGCTCAGGTCATGATCCTGGAGTCCCGGGATCGAGTCCCACATCGGGCTCCCTGCTCAGCGGAGGGTCTGCTTCTCCCCCTGACCCGCTTCCCTCTCGTGCTCTCTGTCTCTCATTCTCTCTCTCAAATAAATAAATAAAATCTTTTAAAAAAAATACTATATTTATAAGGGAAAAAAGGATGTTTCCTTTTCTGTACCTGCAAGAGAAAGGTGACCAAATTTTTAGCAACTCATCATTGGAGAAGGCAACAAACTTAAACCTGCATAACAGATTCTGTACTTGTTTACTGTGCTCTTCCTGGTAACCTTCCTTAACTGTTTCACCCACCCCCCAACATCTTTTGTCTTTAGCTGAAGATGGATTTAGGGTAATGTCTTGGGCCACTTCAGAAAGTTATTCTGTTTTTCTGGGTATCCTATATATATATAGGAAGCATACATGTTATTAAACTTTTGTTTGTTTTTCTCCTGTTAATCTGTCTGTTACTACAAGAGGTCTCAGTTGAGAACCTACAAGTGTAGAGCAAAAATTATTTTTCCTTCCCCACAGTTTCAAGTGCCCCAACATATCACCTTAATGTGACTGTTTGTTTGTTTGTTTGTTTGTTTATTTACATTACTTGTGCATGACCATTATGTCAAATCAAGAAAAGAAGAGACAATCAGACTTGGAACATATACTTTTAAGGTCCAGTTGAGCAAGAATTGTTTTCTTATCAAATTAAATGACAAATCAGGTTTATTATGCAATGACACTATGGTTGTGACAAAAAGAATACAGTACAGGGGGAAGGGGGAAAGATGGCGGAGGAGTAGGGGACCCTATTTCAACTGGTCCCCGGAATTGAGCTGGATGTCTACCAGACCACTCTGAGCACCCACAAAACCAGCCTGAGATGTAAGAAGATCTGGATCTCTACAAACAGAATATCGCAGGCAGTTGGTTTTGAGGTACAAAGTGGAGAGCCGTGATTCTGCGGGCAGATATCGGAGGATAAATGGCAGCAGGAGGGTGCCTGGCTGTGGGGATCCTACACTGCTGGTGAGTGACAGTCTCACGCGCTGCGGACGGGGCACAGACTCACAGACTGGTAGCATCGGGAAAGGACTTTAGGGCAGCCCCCGGGGTAGAAAACCAGACCGGCGGGGTCACACGCACGTGAACCGCAGCCCCCCGGACAGAAACCCAGAGCGACGGTCGCATGCACGCGAACTACAGCCTCCAAGTCGGAAACCTGGTTCGCCGGGGTCGCGCAGGTGAACTGCAACACCTGGGGTAGAAACCCCGAGCGGTGGAGTCGCGGGTATGCGAACTGGGAGTGGCTGGCGGTTTTAGAAGCACAAAGGGCAGAGACGTGCCCCGACCTGGAGGCAGGACTGGGGGCGCTGCGGAGGGGCACAAAACCCAGGACGCTGCAGTTTATAGCAGCACGGACAGAAACGGAGACAGTGTGGCCTGGAGGGCTCATTGAAGAACAGACTGCAGTCTCTCTGCTCTGAGGCAGAGGGTTGGAAACGGTCTCTTCTGCTCTGACTCATGGAAGAGACGCGGAAAG